GTTAATCAATCGCGCCTGCAGCGACTGTCGGGCCAGCGTGCGCGCTATATTTCCTGCAGGAATAACTTTGGCCAGTGTCATCGGAGTGGTGCGGCGGTGACTACAAAGAGACGGAGCGAGTCTTTATTATAATGAATTTTTCAGACCCGCTACACGTTCTGCCGTATATAGAGTTTTAATGTCACAATTTGTTAATTGTGTAATAGATTTCAAGAAACTTGCGTGTTATACGCATTTAATAGAATTTAGAATATTTTTTTATATCACTGACTTTTTTGAATTTAGATAAAGATTTTTATCAGTCAAAGTTTTCCGTATTTCACGACTTTTAATAATAATATGGCAAATTATGATGATTGGATGTGAAAAGCAAATTTCTTTTAATTGAGCTCCGATCAAAAAGCTGCAAAAAATGTAAGCTAAAAATAATTGCCTCCACAATCAATGATAATGTTTCTCAGAAGAGAACTTAGAAGAAGCTTCTCAAACTGTTGCGAACTAACTCCTTAAACTGCCTTAAAGCGCTGATTTGCGTTGATCATCGGTGAGCAATGACTTATCATGCTTCGCTACATTTATAACGTACATATATACGTACATATGTCTGCGTGTACCCGCGTACTTACAATCTGATCATGCGACAAGAGGCAATCGAGAGATCGGCCGATCTCTCGAGGACATTGGGCAAAAAGCCACTGGTCGTTTCGCCAAAGAAGACATACATCAAGATACAGAGAAAACGACACGTGAAAAATCACGGAAAAATTGCGACAGAGGAGGCACAGAAGCGTAAGAAGAGTGTAGGGAGATCGAGAATGATCGAGGGATGAAGGAATAATTGAAAAGAACGGTATAATAGAAAGCAATAATGTAAAAAAAACTTCTTTCTTTTAATTATGCGTTTTTGAGAACGAGACGAGAAAGCGAATCACGTTGCAATGATAAGAAATTAATAATTAGTGGAAAAAATGCGTTAGGGATAGGAGCGAACGAAAAATAGTAAAGAAAAGAAAATTGAACAAGACAATGATAGACGAATGCATCGGATGGAATGCACATATATGTATAAAAATTGATACGCTGACGCATCATGTGTACAGTGGTGGTCAGAAAAGTTGTCCGAGGTTTTATGATAAATTTCGGAAATAGGCTATCATGCGAGAGTTTGTAGCTTTCGCTCCTGAATATGTGCAGTGACGCATTATTAGAGCAAAGGAATGATATGTACTAAAATCTATGCAATGATACTTACTGTAACTTTCTGCCCTTGGGAAAACGTACTTTAAATGAAATTAAAATTTTTTAATCCGTCAAATCTAAGAGTTTACTCTTAAAGAAGTTGTAAGTTTACTTAAGAAATGTTAGAATATCTTGCGTCAACGACGCCGTCCCAAAACCAGACGAAGATTTTCGCAAAGCGACGACGGAGATGAATACAGAAAGGCAAGAGCGAACATACGAGGTGGGAGAAAATTCGCATGTACGGATTTTCAAAAATTGTTCCCCGCAGCGGGGACCGAGATGATCGGACGGAGAGACAAGAGGTCGTCCCCGATAACCCGCGGCGAGTGCGATACCAGTTCGCCATTCTTTCTTTCGGCTCACTCTTTTGGCGCTATTTTCTATTCCAAATTCTATTCCAAGTACTTGAGACGACACCGACAGCGACCAAGACCTGGCGCTTTCGAGCGCAGGTCACGCGTGTTACGCACTGTACTCACGCACTGCTCGTTAAGAGCACCAGACATTATCAGAAGTACATGCACTTTTATTTTTCTTCCTTTTTTTTCATTAAATCGTTCCGGCTATTAATCTCACCGATATTGCTGAGCAGTGGGCGTAACTTTTGAACTTTTGTTATCTACGCAATGCTAAATATATGCACACTTATTTTCGACTGTTGCAAGACTGCGGCAAGATCAGTTTAGGAAGCAAATCGTACGGCGTCGATTGCCGTAATTTAGCATGTACAATGGAAGACGCGATGACTTATAAAGGGCTTGAAACGTATAGAATAGCGCGTAGAAGCTAGTTTCAAATGAATGCGATCTATAAACAGTACAATGACCACATTTTTTTTTTAGATGAGCAAATTAAATCAAATACTCTTCTTTCTTTACCTTCTTTACTTTTTAGCGGAATTTACTCTTTGATAAATACTTAATAAACAATTTTATTTTAATCATAAAACGTATTTCAAGAAACATTTTTGCAACTTATCTTTAGAAGCTTTTCACTTTTAATTTCAAAATACTGCGATTATCTTCACGCCTTGTAATAGAATCATCTATGTGACAGAAAAAAATAGAAGAAAAAATAATAATAAATTTTGTATCGCCATTTTAATTTCTTCGTAACAAAGTTGTCCAACCGATTCACTTCTCCGTGGCTTATCCTTTGCTTAAAAAGAAAAAAAAAGAGCAAGTAACGCCTTGTCATCGCTCGCGTACGAGCCTTCGACATTCGTAATTAGTAATCGGCCCGATGCGACGGCGATGTGCAATATAACGCTGCACAAACGTCGATCCCGAGTCTCACGTATCCCGATTGCAGCGCTGGAAAATAAAGCTATAATTGACGCGATATAGATAATAATAAGTCAACGCTTTATCGGAATGCGAAAGTGTCTGTAATCGCGCGATATGCGATAATCGCCCACAATGCGGCCGGTGCCGCGCCGGTGAACTCGCCGTCGTGCTCGGGGCATATTACGCCTATAAAAAATTCAGATTCGCCCAGAAAGAAAGCACGCCAGTCTCGCGGTTAGCGAGACCCACGATCGGTCTCCCTCGCCCCGATCCGAGTTCCTAAGCAGGTCGTTGATCTTATTTTGTTTCTTCCCCTTTCTCTTTTTTCTTTTTTCGTTTCTCTCTCTCTCTCTCTCTCTTTCTCTCCCCCCCTCTCTCTCTCTCTCTCTCTCTTTTTTCGCGAACACGGGGGCCTTAATAACAGGTTGCGGTTCTACCGCCACTATTACGTGCTTAGCGGCAAGTGGCTCGAAGACAGTTTCGCCCGAGGGACTCGTGCGGCGGCGGACCGTTTGGAGCTCCTTCTGCTCCTTAACAAGTGTATATTATGCACGGAGCGCATACAGGGTGTCCCCGAAAACGCGCGGTATCCTTGGCCTCCTTGGTCTACGATTGTCGTCTTTGGTTTCTAACTTTTGGCGCGCCTTGTGGAAGCAATCGGCGATAAATCGCGTAATAATAACCTGCCGATTGCATCCGATATTGCCACCGTGCGCCTTGCATCCTCGGATAATCACTCTCCCGCTCCTCTCATCCCGGCCAGCGATTCGTGACCGCGGGCACGTATCTTTTGGGCGAGCTTGCGCGGACACGGCGTCCAGGATTAATTGCTGAAATATTTATCCCCGCGTGGTTCGTGCGTAAGCGACGATAATCCTCCTCAATTCAATTCCGGCAGTTACCCAGCAGGGACCGAGAGATAGAGAAACCTCCGATCCGGGATCTACGGATTCCATACTCTTTGATAGAGGCAAGTCCCCCTATTATGAGATAGGCTCCTAATACGAGATAACGTGGTTTCCATTAAATTATAGGCCTCATCTGTTGATTCCACCATGAATTTATTGCCCTTGGGGTGAAATCTGTCTGGAAAATTCATTGTTGGATCGTGCAATCGTTGCGAGAGAAGATCTGCGATTGAAGTTGGGTGTTGAAAACCTGCTATCTCATATTAGAGGGCTTTCCTCTATGCAAGATAGGGAATATATTTCTGAAATTGATCGCTAAAGTTTAGAAGCTGTGCTCTGCCCATTGTAAAAATTCCAAGAAAAAGGTGAAACATTCGCTCATTCGTCAATTATATACAGATCTATGCGATTCTCCGAGATAAAAATATATATACGTGTCATATACTTTTTTAATTTAAGAGGACATAAGTAAAGGGGATACGCGTCTAACAGTTGGGCCATACGGTATCTATTCATCAGCGATAAATCGCGTAGAGTCAACAGCAACGGATGTCGGATGTGAGAGCCGGTTATATAATTGTTACTTCGACACTATTAAGTTACAAGATCCTCATCAGCGGCGATGATACGATGCAATTCAATGTATGTACAATGTTGCATGCAAAAGCGTGTATATACGCGAGTCACGCTGGACGGATCGCCGAGTCGCTGAGGTTAATTTATTTTGACGTTGCCAAGGAAAACATGATCGGTGTCATGTATGAAATATTACCGCTCGCGGTAATTAATTCTGCGCGAACCGTGGCGCCTGGCTGGCACGAGATCTTTGGGATAGCACTGCCTTTTACTAAGGCATGCACAACCAGTTTTTGCAATCGTGCATCAGACTAAACATCGCGCAAAAAGAAAAATCGCGACACGGCACACACGTTGCGTTTGATAATTGATTGCGAAAGATTTTCAATACCGCGCGCTCTGCACTGCGCGAGAGAATAATTAATTAAATACCATGCATAATGACGACTTCCTACGAATTTCAAAACTCGGGTGTTTTGACATTTGGTTTTGGAGTTTTTTTTCTTACTTGTACCTACTTCGTTAAAGTTTAAACTATGTGTATAATTAAGTTAGTATTTTTTATATTTTTTTTTTAAGATTAATGGACCGATGGAAACGTCGAGAATTGCCAATGAGACATCAACTGTTTAAAGAATATTAAAGTAAAGTTTACTTTCGAAAAGTTTAGGTCTTGAAATCTTTACTGAACTTGATAGAAAAATTAACTGTAGAGAATGAAATGCCCGCACCAGCTTACTCTCGTAGAGATAAACAAAAATTAATTAATAAGCATATAAAACTAAAAAATAAATGTGTAGAAAATCTCTTTAAATTTAATAAGAAAAAGTGTCCCAAGGAACCGTGACAATTTGTATCTCAGAAACGATAAACGTGGGAAAATGTAACATGGCAAAATGAAGTGACATCATATGAGCTGTATCTGCCCCGGTTCCTCGCCGTGAGACACCCTGTATGCAGGAGGAAGGAAACGGAAGAAGAGACTCACGGGGCTGCGCCAAGGCAAAGACACTCTCCGTCTTCGCGGCGTATTCGTCGACCTCCTCGTGGTGCGTGATACCGGGCTCGAGAGGCTGCGGCTGGTCGGCCTGCATCCCGTACATGTCCATCAGCTTCGAGATCGGCGGGATCCTCGGCAGAGCCCGGCCCGTCATGTTCGGCGCCTGCTTCAGGCCGAGCTTGTTCAGGATCTGCTCCTTGATCGCTTCTAAACTGAGCGCGCGAAGCTCCTCGTGCATCCTGCAGGCGTTGCAGGCGTTACCGGCCATCGCCAAGTGCCGGACGTGGGCTCTCTCGATGCCAGGCGCGTCGAAGGCACCGAGGAGGACCAGCGAGAGTAATAGCAGCGCCCTCGTGACCATCTTGTTCAAGGTCGCCCTTGGTCGGATCAAGCTCTACGATCGGCTTTCGTCGCGAAAGGAACGATCAGATGATCAATGGCATCGTCTTTTCCCGCCAGCCTCCTGTCTTTCCTCTAGACAAGAGTTTACAGTTTTTCTCAATTTCCCTTGGTACAACCGTTCCTATTAATTACCCTCTTTCGTTGTACAGCCTCCCTCGCGATTGTAGAAAACCTTCTCTTCTTTCTTCAGCGTTCCTCTATTCTGTCTCTCTTTCTCTCTCTCTCTCTCTCTCTCTCTCTCTCTCTCTCTCTCTCTCTCTCTTTCTCTCTCGTCTTCTACTTCTTTCCACAGAGCTTCGATCTCATCCGCGAAGAAAGTTTCTTTCTTCGTCGTTTATCTCGCAGCGCCAGCTTCTTCCTGAACTTACGCAACCATACGTTCTCCACTTCCAGTAGCCGCCCGGTCCCCTTATCGTGCTTTGAAGTCGGTATTCCGCCGGAACTAGGCGACCGGCCTCGATCACGATCGCGATCTGCACGATCCAGTTTCACTTTCTTCCTTCCTATGTCACGAATTTATTGAACGCCGTGGAAAACTCGAGCCTCCTCGATTACGCGGAGGATGCGATCAAATCGAGAAAGTGGGAGAGAAAAAGAGAGAGAGAGAGAGAGAGGGAGAGAGAGAGAGAGAGAGAGAGAGAGAGAGAGAGAGAGAAAGGAGGAGAGGGACAGAGGGCGAGAGAAAAAAAGAGAGAGGGAAAAATCGCCAGTATATTTTCTGAGCAGTCCGCTCCACTTTACGAGGTTCACCAAAACCGTTCTCACGCACACCAATCACAAGGCACTCGAGTGTCTCGGCGGGACTTGGTGCGAAGTGTCCTGGGACAATCACGCGACCGGCTGCATCCTCGTGACCTTCGGGCCTTTAGCGCCAATCTGCTGTCGCTCCGTGACGCGCGTGACCGCTCAGTGACAGATCCTGTTCCCTACGAAACGCGCTTCGAACGTCATGGCGCCAAATCCGAACTGGTCCTATCTCGACCTTCGCGGGCAGTATCTTCCCTCGTTCGTGCCGCGCGTGACTCCACGGCCTTTCTTCGCCTGTCTCCACTTCCGGTATTCTGACTCGGCTGACACCACCGGGTTGTTACTACTGCCGGTACCAGTCTCTCGCGCTTCACCCTCGTTCGAGGACGCCGATCGCCGAAAGTTGGATGGAGGATCCCGCGGGGAGCAATTGCGGAGGACGATCGTGCGTGATGGTGCGGGCAGCGGCTCAGATGACGGACTGGTAGAACCCCGATGGGTCTTAAGAGCTTGCCGGCCTGTCAAGCACTGAGACAGGAGGCGCGAATTCTCACCGCATATATGTCCGAGGTGGAGGCCTCCTCCTCTCTCTTCTTCTTCTTTCTTCTTCCCTCCCCCTTCTTTCTCTTTCTCTCTCTCCCTCTATCCTCTCCGCTATCTCGCCGTCTCCCTCCTTCGCGCGAACGCCGCGGCGTCTTTCTCCGTCTCGGTGTTCTCTCCCGTATAGTATCTTACGCACTCGCGTCGCAGGGGCCAAACGTATACCTACACCCGCCGCCAACGAGTCCCCCTGCGCGTTCCTCCTCCCTCGCTATTCCCCGCTCCCAACCCTTTCTGCCACCGCCGTCGTCGTCGCCGTCGCTGCTACCGCCGCCACCGCCGCCACCGCCGCCAC